GAATTTTGGCTGAATAGGTGTCCAAAGGGATGGGATATTTGGTGACATTGCCGGCGCCGTGCAGTTGAAGCAATAGGTACTGGCCTTTGGGAGCAAACTCTGTCTCGAGATAGCGGTCATCGGAGCCTAAAAAGAAGACTTCGACGACTTCCCAGTCCCACAGCTTATCCATAGAGCCCACGGGTGTCGTGTCATTCATATGCGGGTCGTCGTAAAAGGGCGCCTGTATTTGGATCCGCAGATCCCTACCCCCAGTCGCATCATTGGCCACGTATTCAAAGTGCAAATGAATTTTGTCTTCGGCGGCAATGGATCTGTTGTCCCAGAATTTGTCGATCGTATAACTCATGGCTTCTTCGCTGGCATTGAATAGCGAATAAAAGTTTAGACAAATGAATGCAAAACTTACAATCAATTCAAAGCCCATATCTATTGAGCTTTAATTTCTTGTGTGAATTTCAAACAAATGAAAACTTGTTTTTAGAAAACTTTTAAAAAGTATTAATCAAAAGGTTTATATACTCGCAATATGGCTATGAAATGGTATTATGAGATCAAACTAATTGCTTATACTTTTCTCGTGAGTTTATTTTTACGATAAGATTATAATACTTTTATGGGATTTAGTAATCATTTATGTGTTGTTATTAAAATTATTACACTTAACGTTATGTATTATCGCATAGAATTGTAAATCAATTTTTCAGTGTTTTTACATTGAATTCAATGAAATGATAGCAATATTACTCACACTTCCCTCCAATTCCTTATAACATACAGTATTTCAAATGATTATTAATATCACAAATTATATACATATACCAATATTTTAGTATATTAACATAGTATATCAAAATAAATACAGTATTAACAAATTGAACAAATTTATTACTTGATATGATATTCAATAACTTTGATAATAATGAAATTAAATCTGTTTATACATCTGTTATGTAATACTGTATACAATAAATTATTCATAAAACAACATTTCTGAAGTAATTATATGAATATAAATGTACAAAATCTATAAATGTCTTACTTTTCAATGTTGTATTTCTCTTATTATAAATTCCTATTATTATAGAAATATTTATACAAATATTTACACCAAATGTTATTTCGTATCCTTATACTGTATAATATACAGTGTATATGATAGGGATTTAGTATCCTAGATAAATTTGTTATACAAATGTGCGCTATTTTCAATTTACATATACGGTATTAATCATTAATAATTAA